AATCATTGAGTTCTAACAGAATACTTAATTATTATCTTTATAAAATGTTATATTATAAACCAAAAATAAATTATTTCGTTATTAAACTCAAACTAAATTATAATAAAAATATAAATTAAATAAATGACATAAATAATGAGAACTTTTAAATAATTGATCTGATATTAACATTGATATATTTTTTTTTCAAATTTATATTTTATTCAAAAATAAAATCATTATTGCTTTCTTAAAAACACATAAAATCGTATTATAACATCGACATAGACAAATAATAAAATAGAACATTAAAATCGAGATGTGTTTCGTTGTATTGCGCAAGTACCATTCTAGTATATTATAAAAGTGAGCATGCTCAATTGAACACTTAAAAGTTATCACTAGAATCAATGGCTTGAGCTTTGAAGTAGAGCTATTGATGGGCGAGATTACATGCTAGACACAGCCTGTTAGAGAAATGGACATGGACAGCTATATTCAAAAAAATGTACAGGTCCAGGCCGACTCGTTAAATTAATGGGTGATGCCATATAGAACTGGACTGGGTCGTTTGACATGTTAATATTTTATAATTGATTAAATTTTATAAATAAAGTTCTATAAAAAATGAAAAGAAACTTCTATAAAAAATACAGAGTGTATATTAAATTTGACTGACGTTCTTAAAATATTGGATGCAAGTGTTTGTTTATATTCTTCAAAAGTGATCGTTATATGAAATTGTGGATATATGCTCGAGGAGCTTGATAACGTCCAGATTTGAAAATCTTGACAATTGACCATTTTACTGTACAACGTGTTAGACCGTAATAACGTAATTTTTTATATTTTATGACATGAACATCTGAAAATTGTTACCTTTTCCCTTTTTTTTCAAACAGAGTTTGAAAACGGTTTTTGGTTTATTGATTTAAAAATTTTTAATTTCTTCAAAAGCTTGAAATTTATATATTTTAAATCATTGCTTTCATTTTCGGTTAAACACATGAAAACTAAGGTGACGTTTACCAAACGCTTACCCGAGTAAGCGTTTACCAAGTCGCTTTACTTTACCGGATGAATATGACAAGGATTAAAAATCATACCCGGTAAGAGCAAAGGCAACAATCGAGAGTCTTACCCAGTAAGTGAGGACGAAAACTCTTATCATGATTAACGCTTACCGGGATAAATTATTGCACACGATGCGCTTTAGTGAATAAAATCTTACCCGGTAAGTAAGCAATAGCGTTGAATTTTATTGGTAAGTACTTACCGGGTAAGTGTTTAGGTAAACGGCCTCTAAGTTTTGATTCATGAAACAAATGTTTGAATTTATTTTGCAAAAATGGTAAAATTAAAGTTACATACAAAAATTATTTATAATTTTATTTGAAATTCAAATCCTTGAAGAAAATTAACTACAAAAGTTAAATAAATAGAAAATATTTTTTTTTTGTCAAATCTAAGTTATATTTAGTTCTAGCCTTGCATTACAAAATTAGTCTGACGTACAAATCGGTTAAGCATGTACAAATATGTTAGCACAATTCCACCCAAAGTTCATTTAACTCAATTTGTACAAGTTAATAAAACGTGGGTGTTTTGGTACTTTCAATAGGCCTAATCTTTCCGGCAATCACAATAACTTCATTATTTCTTCATATATATAAAAAAAACAAGATTGTTCGGAGCCAGTGGAACAAAATCTCATATTTTTCTTTAAAATTGACGCTTGTATCATAACACAGATATCCATTTAGCAAAATATGGTATAAGCGGCTTCCGCCGAAAAACTCTTATGTCTGCAGAAAATGGTATAGGGGTAAATGTATTCTAACTATTAATTGATACCTCAATCATTTGTCTTTAAAAATTCAAAAGATTAGAAAAAGCTTTCATAAACTTGTCTTTATAATCATCTAATTGCTTTTATAAAGATGTCTCTAACGTGTAACTAAGGGGCCGTTTACCAAACGCTTACTTGCATAAGTGAACATCAAGTCATTTTATCTTACCGGATGAATATGGTAAGAATCAAGAATCTTACCCGATAAGAGCGAGACAATGACCAAGAGTCTTACCTGGTAAGTGAAGGCGACGAGTCTTACCTGGTAAGTGAAGGCGACGACTCTTACCACAGTAAACGCTTACTGGGTAAATTGTTGCATACGATACCGTTTTGGTGGACTAAAATCTTATCCGGTAAGTAAATTATAGTGTTAAATTTACCAATAAGTGTTTGGTAAACGGCCCCTAAGTTGATAAAGAGAATTTTGTCAAAATACAAGACAGGTCTAGCATTCGATCCATGACCCCCTATTAGCCTCAACCATTGAGTGAGCCCACAAATACCCCACCATATTGATGTCATCAGAAGCATGTCTTATATATAACCACAAGAGTGGTGCCGGATTGGTTTGAGCTTGGCTCCATAGGTCAAAAGTACCACGAGATCCCAAGTTCAAATCCAAGGAGAAATAAAAATCCCCTTGTGGCTACAGAGGTTCAAATGCGGTGACTCCCGGCTATCTGTAAAGCAGGTGGTTGTCCTGAGATTAATCGGCTCGTATAACGGGTTGGATATCCAGGTTAATCATATATATATATATATATATATATATATATATATATTAAAATACTCCTAGAAAATGAAAACTTTGATTTGTTCAGGGGAATAAAATAAGTTTTATATTAAATTAAAGTAAATAAAATAAAAGTAGTCAACAATAGTCAACCGGCGGCTACGATTGCTTATTCCATAAACCCTTTACATTATTTATCAACAATCGTGTTCAAAGATTGATTTTGATTTGTTTGTTATATTTTTTTTTATTTTTCAAAAACTATTATATGAAAAAATTATAACAAATTCATAAACTTTGTATTATAATTAGAAGGATTTGCATACAATACAACAAAATATATCTCAATTTTATTGTTTCTTTTTATTCTTTGTCTATTGATATGATACAATAGTTTTATATAGTTTTGAGAAAGTGATAATATTTTTATTTTTGAATAAAATATAAATTTAAATATATTATAATTAAAATTTTGATTAAAAAATATCGATATTAACATCAAATTAATTATTTAAATTTTTTCGTTTTTTATGTAATTTCTTTGATTCAATTTTTTTATTATAATTTAATTTAGGTTTAATAAAAAATCAAATTTATTTTTGATTTAGTAATATAAATTTTCATAAAGATAATAATTAAATATTCGATTAGAACTCAATAATTATCCTAATTATTTTTTAGATTTAAAATATGATGTTTATCATGTATATGATTATGTTTATTTGTAGTTAATTACACGAATTCAAAAATGAAGGTTCAATAAGTTGTACTTATATACAATTTACTTGTAATCCTGAGTTCTTGTCAAATATTTTATAGATAAAAATCTTTACCAATATAAATAATTTTTATACTAAAAATAAAACAAAATATTTATTATTGATTTGCTGATTTTTATTTAAAATTAAATGTTATATTCTTTAAACCGTTCAAAATATATAATAACGAAAATGAGGAATTCAAACAAGGGGAAAATGTTTGATTATTGAAATTGACGTCATCAATGACTTATCTACAACCCAAGTCAGCAACCAACTCTATGACTTTTAATCGAAAAAATTGCATGAATAAGTAACGTACTTTTTAACATGATTCCTATTTTAAGTAACGTACTTTTAAAACGTCTATTTTGGTACTTAAGATGTAAAGTTTTAAACATTTAAGTACCTGGATAATCGGTTGAAACATTAACCAGTTATCATGCTGATGTGACAAGTGATGGAATGAAATTAGGTTGAATAATAAAATAATACTGAGTTGGATACTACATCACTCGTCACATCAGTATGGTAACCGGTTACCCGGATACTTAAATATTTAAAACTTTACATCTTAAGTACCAAAATGAAAGTTTTGAAAGTACGTTACCCAAAATAAAAATCAAGTTAAATTATATTACTTTTTCACATGCAATTTGTCCTTAATTCTATATTTCATGACCATTTCATAAACCAGAAGTTCATAGGTTGGGGCCAAGGTCGGACGTAATTACACGTGATTTTGTTGTTCTCATGTTATCTTATTGGTCAGTGTTCTCATTTGAAACCCTCTCTCTCTCCATATATATACACTACACCTGCTTTAGAAACCATCATCTTAGTGATTTTATTTCTTACCAAAAACAGAAGCTTAAGGTTATGGATGGAAGAAAAGTTACCGGATGGGCTGCCAGAGACTCATCTGCCATCCTTTCTCCTTACTCTTTCCATCTCAGGTCTGTCTCTCTCTTTGCAAACATACATCATCAACTATTCCTGCACACATTTCACACAATCTTTAATCAAGATACCCAATAAATCCCACTAAAAAACGGTGTCATGTACACAGACCTGTCCTCTACTCAAACGACAGAATGACTGATTTCAATTAGTCCCATACCTAATATATTCGAAGATTGCTTCCAAAGTCTTATCGAAGGTGTGCTAATGGCAATATGGCATGTGGGTTCGGAATGTGCAGGAAAACAGGTCCAGAAGATGTATTGTACAAGGTCTTGTATTGTGGAATGGACCACACTGATCTTCATCAAATGAGGAATGAGGTTCACCCCACTACATACCCTTTGGTTCCAGGGTAGGTTTCGAAATTTCCCCACTTGCTTTGCACTTTGTACCCGTTGCATATATGTTGTACAACACATGCTATAAACAATCTCATTTCACCAAAGGGTCATTATGTACTTCAAAGAAAATCTGATTTCGTATTCTTGCAGGCACGAAGTGGTGGGAAAAGTTGTTGAAGTGGGATCAAAAGTGAACAAATTTAGCGTAGGTGACATTGTGGGAGTCGGAGGTATGGTAGGATCGTGTGGGGAATGTTTGTGTTGTAAAACCAATAAAGAACAATACTGCACCAAAATGGTGTTCACTTACAATGCGATCTACAAAGATGGAAGCTTTATGCAAGGAGGTTTCGCCTCTGCCATGGTAGTCCATCAAAAGTGAGCAAAAACCATATTCCCCATACTACCCTTAATTAACATTGTGTTCCCGAAACCTTTTTTTTAAGGAAAAGAAACGAAAGGGGAAAGGAATAGAAAACAAAAAAAACTCTGTTCTCTAAACTTTTTAGGAGGTAAAATATCATTTATGTTTCCTTCCAAATGTGGGAAGAAAGGGAAGGAAAGAAAATCCGAAAGGTGTATTCGATCTCTTATGAAGAATATACCCACATAAGGAAAACTGAAAAAACAAATATAAGGAGTACATTTGTAAAATTGACATTTTTTTCCCTTTCTCTCTGATTAAAAAGCATGAAAAATTGTTTCCATTCTTTCCATTCCCTTTCAAGAACACAAAAAAAAACTTTCTTTTCCATTATTTTCCCTCCCTCCCTTCTCTTTTCTTACTTTTATTTTCTTCCCAAATTCGAGCATACGGGGTTCATCTACAAGAAAGTGAAACTAAAAAGTCAAAATCTGAAAAATTGCAGCTATGTAGTGAGCATACCAGAAAATCTAGCTCCAGAGCAGGCAGCGCCATTGCTATGTGCAGGAGTGACGGCTTACAGTCCCTTAAAACAGTTTATCGACTCCAAAAAGCCGATCAGAGCTGGAATCTTGGGTTTGGGAGGAGTTGGTCATCTGGGTGTTCTGATAGCAAAGGCGATGGGCCACCATGTGACAGCGATCAGCTCTTCTGATAAAAAAAGAGAGGAGGCATTAACCCATTTGGGCGCTGATTGTTTCTTGGTGAGCTCCAATCCAGCTGAAATGGAGAAATCAAGAAACAGCCTCGATTATATACTCGATACTGTACCCGTTGCTCATCCGTTACAAGATTACCTTTGCCTTCTTGGAGTCGAAGGAAAGATATTCGTTGTTGGAGCCGTTCCTGAACCATTGCAGTTCGATGCAACAGGTTTGATTTTAGGTATGTGCCCTTTCAGTACCCCAATAAACCAAACCAAACAAGCACTGTATATCCCCCCGTAGGTGGGGTCCTTTGGTTAAGTGATCTTTTGGCAGGTTTTTCTTTTAAATTCATGGCTTTCTGACATGTTTGAGAATGCCACTTTCATACATATATAAGAAGCCCTAAAACCCTGTCCAAAAGTCATGGATCGAAAAAACTTGTGTCAGAAGGTCATTTAGCGCAATAATCCCCCCAATGTGGGATCTGCGGTGTGGGATGTATGCAAACCCGACCTTCATCCCGGATAGTAGAGTGATTTTTTTGTGAGGTCAAATAGAGTAATATGATTTTTTACAACAAAATCCATATTGAATTCATAAATGAAAAGATCCATGATTGACCTTATCCAAGTCGTGCCCCAATTTGGACCTGAAGTTTATGACTGATGTTGAAATTTACAGGAAAGAAGACAATAAGTGGGAGTTTCATTGGAAGCATTCAAGAGACACAAGAGATACTTGCCTTTTGGGTCGACAAAGGTTTGAAGACGATGATAGAAGTAGTGAAAATGGATTATGTGAACAAAGCATTTGAGAGGATGGAAAAGAGCGACGTGAGGTACAGGTTTGTGCTGGATGTGGCTGGGAGCAATCTTGAGTGACGGGTAATCATGGGACAGCAATTTCATGTATGCATAAGTTCAATAAATACAACCAGTTTCAATGTTCATGGAAAGTCAACTAGAGTTAAAACCAACATAAACTAAATCAAATGAGCCCCGTATATCCCACCTGGAGGTGGGGTCTTGGGGGTAAGACATACGCATATCTAACCTCTACCCTAAGAGTAGAGCGGCTGTTTCCCAGAACGCCTTCAAATAAACCAGATGAAACTTAATTCGGTAAAGACTAATAGTTAATAGCATACCTCTATGTGCAAGCTAATTGTGGAGTGGCTGTCATCCAAGGATCTGCTACTGAGCTGCAAGAAAAAATATGTTCTCCAAACCAAAACAAAAATTAGAAAGAAAAAAATGCGAGTAAGAAACGAGCCAAAAAACCAACCAGAAGCTTTAGCAATTTCAAGTTATAAAATCAGAATTGTTCTACAAATTTGAGAATCCTATTGCTAACGAGAACACTAATTCTACAACACTTTGGCTATTTGAACCAAGATTGAGTCTTGATTGTACAAAGGGCCAACTAAATGTCTCTATTTTTAAGAGCCTGCAGAGAGGTTCTATATGGATAAAAAAAAAGAATGAGGTTGTGTTGCAACAAAGTTGGCACAGACAAATTGTTGATATTGCATATTGGTAGAAACTACCATCTGCTACTGGTTAAAAATGACAACAACTAATGTTACATCACAAGTTGGTGGAGCAATAACTCTACTCCTGAGTCATTTTGCCCCTTGTTGCTGAACTATCGGAGACTTTGGAGCCATCATAAGAAGAAATGAAGAAAGAGCTTTGATTCTTTTGCAAAAACCTATAAAAACACAATACAATGATCAGCTTTTGCCACATATAAGCTTCACAGGAATAATATGATGAAAGCGATGCACTATAAGAAAAGTTGTACTTGAGAAAATCGAGAAACTTTTGCTGCAAACGCGTCGCCAGATCCTCTTCTATGTTCACGTACGGCAATAACTCAGGCAATTTAACTGCATAGACAAGAAACCACATCAAATAATTGAAGAAAACAACAAACAGTAGACCACATCAATGTTTGTTAGCAGCTTAATGAGCTTAATGAGACTCACAGCTTATTCGGTCAGCTATACATGACTGTTTGATAGTGACTTAATGATATAGAAAGTGGCTTATTTAGTAAGCTTTTAGGGGGGAGCTTTATGCAGAAAGCCAAGTTTTTTCCAACCCTACCCCTACCAATTAAAAAACACTCCTTCCATCTATGAAAAAACCCTCCCAAACAGAACCCTTCCCAATCTATATAGACAGATTAATCCATACTGACAACTTTATCCATACATGACTTAATGGAAAACCAACCAAACAGCCCTTTCATGATCGGCCAGGTTCTTTTCCAAAAGAGTGAAACCAGTGTATGAAACAGCTGAGTGAAACAAAAAAAGGAACCAATTTAGTGTGTTTGGTAGGGAGATAATACGAACATCAATAAAGAAGCGTACCAAAGAGACGTAGCAGATGTTCGGCACCATATATAGTTGAAGGAGAAATATTATCCGTAACTAATTCATGATACTGTTTACGCTCCTTATTGTATAAAAGAATAACTGGTAAGGCTCTGTCAAAATAACACCGTAATCCCTTCAAAATCTCTCCGACAGCATCTGTCATCCTGTATACATGGCAACAAAGTGAATAAACACTTTCTATACAAACTAGAGAAAGATTCATGCAGACTCGCAAAGATTTATCTTACAAGATGTCACAAAATTCACCATCAACAAAAAATGAAAGCTGTTTAATCCCATCAATCCATGTGCAGTACAAATATTAGAAATCACCAAATGCACAAGATATGAAATTGCCATAAATTCAACTCTCTTCAACAAATCTAGAACTTCATCTCAACCACAGATTACTAATCCAACAACTAGTTCCAAATGGGTACAGTTCCTAATTTTTGAAAGTCAGTTTCAATCAAGAAATATGTACTATTTGGTAGGCATAAACCGAAATAGAGACATCAGCTGAAAGGCCAGTCAGCCAACAATCATCCAATTACCTTCATGCTACAGAACTATACATATTAGTCATCTACAAACCTATTCGATTGTTTGAAAATCACGCTACAGAACTATACATGTTACTAGAGGCCATAGACCTCGACTAACACTCTATAAAGAAAACCCACTCTAGGTCATCCTTCTGTATGCTGAAAATACTGCAATGACTGCTGTATGGAACTATAATTATTTTCCTAAGCACAAGTAATAACATGGTAAGCATTGAACATAAAAATACCCTATTTTAACATGAGACGAGCATGGACTCATTGATGCAAGTAGCACATGGCAAGAGAACCATTTGTGTTTTCAAGGTCCAAAAATGAAAAGGTGTGGTATTATCTATGTGACAGCATTAAAAGACACCATATCAAAAAAGATTAAATAGTCATAATTGCAGAGTTCCAAAACTAGAACTGATCTTAAATTAAACACTAGTGAACTTACATGCCATCCTTCTTTGATCTGTATTCAAGGTACTTCGCCAGTACATCATCAACATTTGGAGAACGCGGAAGTTTAACAAGCTGAAAAAAAGAGCTTTAGTACTCCAACTTTCTGGACACCAGTTAAAGAAAGAACAATATAGAGTGAAGTTTTATATTCAAGATATTTCAGGTTAGTAATGCAAGAGAAACAAACAAATTTATCACACTGTCTTTAGCTACAAACAATTGAATGCAAACAAATATGGTAACAAGATCCTGCATGAGTAGGCCACAAGAAGGGGGCAGTAGGGGGGAGGGAACCAAACTCAGTTTGACAAAGGTCAAATAAAAAGGGATCAACCAACCATGGACAAAATTTACAAGTTTGTAATGAGACTCCTGCCCAAACTGCCAACGATAATCCATTGTCTAGAGAAGTGCAAAAAAAAATCAAAGCACATTGACATAGCTAGCTAGCATCTTTCTTTATTTGGAACTTTACGAAGGCAAACAAACATTTCTGCACGGACACAGTAGCAAGCTCGTCTGTACCTTATCTTGATGATTCACATATTCCCAATCATCCACAAGTTGCTTTTTTAAAGCTGATGGAATTTGAATCTTCACAGGCTTTTCAATAGATGCATTCTCTTTCTGGCACAAACAGCCACTAATCAGCATATGCATATGGTTAAGAGATAATCACCAGAATATGGAATTTGAAACAAAACAGAAATCACCAAAAACATGCTATAACTTTTCAAAGTACTCTAAATTTGGTAAAAAAGAAGGATCCCTGGTAGATCATAGCACAAAATATGGTAACTCTGAATATACCTCAGTGCTCGAATCACTCTTTCTCTTCTTCCCTTTCGCCCCTGAATTTACACCCATATAGAAACACACTATGTTAAGATTTCAAAATATGAACGCCGAGCACTGGCAAACAATTTCCCAGACACATGAAAAAATGCATCAAGTTTTACGAAAGGGCATTGTTTATTGCAGCAACATGGATTAGATAAGTCCTTGTATATGGATCCAAAAGAAGAAACTTAAGGACACTTCTTAGTCTATAGTGAGTTATCAGAATTCTTTGTACAACTGTCGCATCACACAGGGCCGTACCTTAAGTTTTTGGTGCCCAGAAAGCACTCAAAAGTGCCAGTTTAAAAAATAACATTAAATTTTTCGACGTTTGTAACAATGTTTGAAAATGATGCTACTGAGCAATAAATTCACACACAATACGTACTAAGGATAACATAAAAACCTTTGTTCATTGGTTTCTAATTTTTTAAGCTTTAAATAAATGCAAAGTAGCAGCCACATTGTCAAGAAACCCATTGAAATAAAATCAAAAATAAACTACGTTAAGCACATAGTAGAATGTGGTACAGGTTCATGTTAAAACAAAGTATTAATTGTTGGATGTGATTAATTTTAATTTAGTTTTTATTTTTTCAGATAAATATGTGCTGGCAACGCATTTGCATTGATATCACACTTCTGGTTACCAAATGTAACATTGTTCTACATATGCACAACCAAACACAGTGCCATCTAAAGCAATTTTTTTAACTTACCTTCTGCATGACTATAATGTCTAACATGCTATCGAAGGACAATTTTCTACTTTTGGTTAAGAATATAATTTAAGATAAAGGGAGGTGAACACATATCCCAAAGGTCCAACAACTTGGCTAGCATCATAATTAGGCAGCATAAAGCATGCTGTTAGTTCTAGTATTTCCTTTTGACTGATTAAAAAGAAATCAGTTGGATAAATTGAAAAGAAATACGGCAATAAGACAATCCAAAAATGGATTAATCTAAAAAAGCATAGAGTTGTGTTCAAAAGATATACCACTACTCTTCACATCCTCTTTTTCCACCTTCACATCTAGAAGGTCCAATAAGACAAAAAAATTCGTTGTTATTCATAGGAAAGAGAGAGGAAGACTAAATATCAGATTTGCCATTACCTTCCCAACAAGATTGATAGATAGACCAAAAGGTTATTGGCATAGTGATACCCTGGTTACCGGTAGAGCCCAGCCTCCCAAGAGGCCAGGGGTTCAAACCTCACCAAATGTGAGTGTACGTGAGTATTTGTCGTATATAAATATTATACACTTAAAAAATTGATAGATAGGGTAGACATAAGCATTAAACCATAATGATGAACCTTAGAGGTCAGTTTCTTGAAGCAATTGGTCAAAGAGTCCAAGGAGTTTGAGTCAGTTTTGTACTTTGTATAGTGTTCCTATGAGATGTTAGGAAAATGGTTTAATCCTTTATCCAAAAATAAAGACTTAAACCATTTTTCTAACAACTGATAGGAACATTATACTAAGTATCCAACTGAACTCAAACTCCCTGGACTCTTTGACCACTTGCTTTCAAAAAAATTGACCACTGACCTTCATCATATTGTGAAGTCAGGCTGTAGGTTTGATAATTGATGTTGTGTCGGAAACCAAAACAAACACATCATCATGGTGGAAACATTGAGTCAATAAAACTTGTAAATGAGTTGACAGGGGGGAAAGTACCGCTCGATACTTTTGGCTTAGTTTGAGTTGAGCGTCCAGACTTTGAATTCTTGTCCACACCCTGTTTTTTGTCAAGGGCTTGCTGCTTCACGATGTTCTCTTCAGTATATTTCATCAGACGGTCAACGCCAACCCATTCATCCCAACTGTTATCAAGATAACAGATCTTTGTAACCATTTTTAAACACATAATGGAAACTGGACATTAAGTGAAAATAGCCTAGAATTATTACTTTCCGCCTTGTCACTTTGTTTACCACAGAATTTCCACTAGAATAGTTACTGAATCATAAGAAACTCTTCTCATGTGCAGTATTCATCTTATACTCATGTTAGTTACGGAGTGTGTCAGCTGCATGGACCCAAACCGTAAAAAGAACCATGATGTATTGTTTTTGGCAAGCACATTTTCATAAGCCAAGGATAGCATCTTAAACATATACAGACACTCACGCTGTCACGCATGGATAACATAAAACAAGGAACATTAATCATAACTACTAGTTGCAATTTCCATGTACAAATAACTCGAATAGGTAGTGCCAAAATAGTTCACACATCAATACTAGTTACGTTAGAGAATTTAGATGAACAAAAATAATGTTAAATAATATGTTTCCCAACTTACATAACAAAATATTTTATTAACTTACATCTTGATAAAAGATATAAGAGGTAAAACATAAAATAAACATACCAGTTACCAAGGATTGAAAAACATTAAAACATAATGGAGGATAGTGATTGTCAATATATAACATAGAGAAAAAACATTTCTGTCATGGCAGCAAAAAGTTTTGTTCAGCAAACACCCGAATTTGCTTTAAGGCATGTACTTTGTGTAGTCCCCCACCCAAAGTGCATGCCTTAAAGCACCATTTAGTAGCTACTGAATAATTTGTGCAGTGACTCTTCATAGCCTCCAAGCTAATAAAGTTGATGCTTCGAATAAAAAAATCTTCTTTAACAGAAGAAAAGGAGGCAGTGTGGATCTTTTAGATTTCCAACTGTCGGGTTTTTATGTAAATTTAATCTTTCGAATACATTAGCCAGTGGCTTCTATGCAACCCTAAAGATAAGATGAGTGACATAAATTAATCGTGACTTGTGGGAAAAAGAAAACTGACAAGGTGGTCCCAAAATACGGAGCCAGGTATGTGGTTGCCTCTTTATTATTTGTTTTGTCATCCTCTTCCTTGTTTCCCTCTATCTTCTCTTCATTATATTTGCATAGCATGATGCCAAAAGGAGCATAAAACAAGAGGGAAGCTATTACTCCTTTTTTATCCCTTTTAGAATAAGGATTGACTACGGATTCGATGTGACATGCCAGCATCATGTGCCATGTATCCACAGTGAAACTTATGAAGCTCACTATTTTCCTAGACAGTGCCACTGCATATGGCATCCCAGATCTACACTCTGCACTCTGCAGCACCTTTTTCATGCCTTGGCTTTTATGCTTATTAGTTTACATCCAATTAAAACCAGACAACCTAGTGCATCAAGACATAAATTTAGTTCGTCACCGATCATAGAGAAGCCTACACCATGATAGGTCTTCAAAATCTCTAAAACATGATGCACAGTGGACTAGTACAAAGAAAGCTCCACTCTTTCAAGGGCTCAAATGGAAACAAACAACGAAACTGGATGTCTAAGATCCAAACACTAAACAATACATAAGGCGGTATGTCGCATATACATATAAAATAGAATGCTACACTAAAATTTAATAGTATGCTGTGTTTTTATGATCTACTTACTGACATAAAAAGAAGAAAAATGCATAAACGGAAGATGCTTGGATGATAGACAGAGTACAAAGAAAATCTCCATTACCCGCCCTCTTCTTCTCTTTAGATAACAAGATAACACCACAGAGAGGTAATTGTCAACCAATGTCATATAATTAAGGTTCTATAACTGAGGCCCCCAACCTAACTTTTGGTTGTATTGAACATCCACAAATAATTGAAACCATGTGCACTGAATTGGTGAGTCTAATTCTTTTCCATAATGTAAACCCCGAATCAAACTTTAACGCACATTGCACATAGAAAAATTGATCTTTCCTAATTGACCTTTCTTAATTACTACAAAGCTAATCATAAGATCTATTTCGTATATATGACATCATTATGAGTAAATCTAGATCCCACAAAAGAAAAAAAAGGAGAGCACTAACACTACCTAGAAATGGGGCCTTAAGGTACATATTGATGCCCACAAGAATAAGTGCAATTTGAGCAAGAAAAGGTTAAATTTAGCAAGTACTGAGTAGAATAATGGAAGGGTATTGGTGCACCAAGGATACTCAGCTCAGCAAGAGTATAGGAGAAATTTCTTTGTATGCAACCTCAACTTTGCATTGTGTAAATAGGTTGTTATATGATCGAACCTGTGACCTTCCAATCACAAAGTAACCTTACCGGTTGCTCCAGGTGAAAAAATGAGCAAAGACAAACTTTTTCCACACTATTTCAAAATATAATGCACGATCCAACGTCGAGAATTTGTATAAGAGTGATGCCAAATAGAAAAAAGAATCTTACTTTTTACTCCAACCCTGCAAAACAAAAAGAAAAATAATCTATTACTTAAAGTTGTCTCATGAAAACAAACAATTGATCACAATTTCTAAAACTAAGATAAATCTATGTAACATCATACAAAGTAGCAATTAAATAGTACATGCAAATAAATGCTTTGTGGGGGAAATCTAGCAAAATAAAAGGAGAGTATCAAACTTACAAGGTAATGGACGAAATATTTCCACTCATTCTTTCGTATCTCAGCTTTTTGAACCTTCAAGGTGGAAGAAAAACAAAACAAAGCATAAATATCAAACTTATAAGTACTTATATCGTTGTACTGTAGTTATACAGGACCTAAAGTAAAAGTAATCTATACATGGTCAAGAAAAAGGTATTGGTGAAGTTATAAAGTACCTAACACTTCAAGTCATATAGCAAAATACAACTATTGTTGTAATACCAATAATCGTCAAAGTCAATTTGATAGCGGGTCAATAAGAGTTAACAGTATGATCATTGTACTTATGTACGCAGTATATTAGTTTGCTAACAGGTTATTCATGATTACTTGTGTCATACAGACTACTTTCAATATCCATGCTTTCTTTTTATAGCAATTGCATCCATATTGCCTTTAGGAAACACAGCATCGGTATTCACTTTATTTCTATTTATTCACTATAATAGTAACAGTCTTGTAACTATTATCCTTAATAGTAACTAGTACAACAAAACCCAAACCAGACAAACCCAACATATACCATCCAAAGGTTCGGTCTCGCCCCACTCGCCTGGGGTACGCGGACCTAATCTCTGCCTAACAGAGTAAATTGGTTGTTTCCGTGCCGGCCCTCAGCTAGTTAGAAGTGTGTGAAAGGGATGAAAACAGATATACCAAAAAAATGGAAGGCTAGATGAAAAAAATACGACAACGCTAAAACTAGAAAGAGAGAAGGACAAATATGTTAAACTAAGGGAAACTAGATAAGGAGTAAGCAACAACAATATAAATAGATGCAAGTATGGGAAATGAAAGAATCATGGGCAAGTACAGTCTTCAAACTTATTATAACTTACATGCCCAAGAAACCTAGTTAATGAGAGAACCATGGGCAAGCACTTCTTAGAGAGAACATAATTGGTAAGGAGGAAGACTATTTCCCATCCTGAATTGAATTGTAAATGGATTGAATCAGATCAAGTATGTTCAAATTTTTTGTACAAGTCAAGTCACCCTCCAACAGAAATCATCAAGAAAATGACTTGTAGTCAATCCCAATACACGTGTTAAAACCATAAGTTGCCGCTATGACTGCATAGATTTTCAATGAATTTTTGTTTCTTCTCATTAAAGTGGAACCAAGACTAATGCAGACATAAGTAAATACTTCCTTTCACCTCATATTGTGTTCTAGCAGTACAAAGCAAAAATTAATAAACATAACTAAACAAGCACCCCAAAACAAGGTTCGGCCTGAGTTATGCAAATTTGGCAATTGTATCAAACAATATTTTTGTCACTGGAATCATATTATAAGAAACATTATCCAATTAAATAACAACCAGAATTCTACTGGTTGTTATTGGTCCATCAGTCCAATAATTACCATCCACTTTAAACTCATATAGTAAGCTTTTGTTGAAGATAGGATTCTCATTAAGAGCAGAATGACCCCATGTCAAGCTTACCCTTCACAATTACTTGCATCCCTAGAGTTCACAAGTTTTAAGTAGTGGATTATAAGGGTGAAGCAAAGAGGGAAACTCGTTCTCTTTTTTTCTTTTTTGCATTTCTGAATTGGGAACCCTAGTCTCCAATTTGCTAGTGTAAACACACAAAACGAAAAACAATTTCTTCATTTTCTTCTGTGCATTTCTGAATTGGAAACCCTAGTACTCAGTTTGCTAATCCCATAGTAAACGCACATAAAAAAAAACCCTAATTAATCTGGTCTATCCACAAACAATTTTTTCTGTTTACTTTTCCTCATGTTCACCAAACTATCTGGCATTTAAGATCCAAACTTAAATTGTACGAAAGTGAAGAAGAAAGTGGCTGTCTACACTAGAGACAAAGAGAGAGATCAACAGTATGCGATGCAAGTGAAATATATAACGAGTAATGAACATGCCTTGGCTTCGTAGATACGAGGGCCGTGATAAGCGAGGACTTTCTCTCCGTCTGAGTAGAGGTTGGAATTGGAGTCAGGACGACGGCGATTGCCGGTGGATTTGTCACCGTCGGTGGCAGAATCGTCCCTGGAACTCCCCATGTTTTCTGGAAATTTTTGGTAGTTTTGGATCGTAAAAGTAGCTTTCCCCCCGCTTCTTTTTTTGAGTGTTTTCTGGTCGTCGGACGTTGTTTTCCCTGCCTCTGTCCAATTCCACATAAATTAGAGTCAATTTATGCATTTCGTCCCTATGTTTTTTTTTATGTTTTTAATTATTTTGAATTTGGTGTTTTTGGTATTTAATTTGTCACGATTACGGTTCTTTTAATTAGGATTATTTTTTAGAGATTTATACTATATTATAAAGCATTTGATAAAAACTTTCAAAATCATATTTTATACATGAAGTACTGTTTATTGATGTATATTACTTAAAATTTAAGATTACAAGTAAATTATGCATAATTACAGTTTATAAGCTTCATATTTGAATTCGTGTAACAAACTATAGATAAATATAATCAAATTCATGATAAAATTCTCATTTTAAATATATCTAAAATATAATTAAAATAATTATTGACTTCTAACATACTACTTAGTTATTATCTTTATAAAAATTATATTATTAAATCAAAAACAAATTACTTCGTCATTAAACCTAAATTAAGTTATAATAAAAAAAATTGAATTAAAGAAATTACATAAAAAAATGAGAACTTTTATATTTTTTTAATTCTTATGATATCTTCAAATTTATATTAAAAAAACATTATTGTTTGTTCAAAACTACATATATCCATATTATAATATCGACATAGACCAAAAAAACGAAACATTAAAACTAAGATATGTCTTGTTGCATCGCACGGGTACTCTTCTAATTCTTTAAAATAAATAAAATGGGGTTTTTATTCTCTACTTTGTTCCAACAGATTCTCTATATTGTTATCTAAAATAATAAAAATCAAAGAAAGCAGAGAATTCTCTAAAACTTGATGATATGTGGAAAGGGAAACTGGTTTTTTATTCATTCCCACTAATAAGGAGGTGTTTGGGATTGCTTATAAAAACAACTTATTGATTTATTCAAGTATGGTACCTGTAATAAGCACTTTTGAGTGTGTGGATAAATAACTTATACCGATGCCAAACCGGTAATAAGAAGTTTTTGGAGAATTTATCATTATAACTTATAATAAGTTGATAAGGACTTTTGTAGAAAAAACATAAGTTGTTTCAAATAAGCAATCTCAAACACAGTCTAATATTCAATTATTATTTTATATAAGTTCTCTTTCAAAACAACTAGAAGGGCACTCGTGCAATGCATCGAGATACATCTTGATTTCAATATTTCATTTTATGTCTTTTTTATGTCGATATAATATGGTTTTATATGATTTTGAGAAAACAATATTGTTTTTATTTTTGAATAAAATATAAATGTTTGAAAATATTATAATTTTTTAAAAAAAATATCGATATCAGTATCAAATTAATCTTTTTAAAAGTTCTTGTGTGTTGGTGTAAATAATTTAATTTAAGTTTAGTAACAAATAAATTTAATTTAGGTTTAATAATATAATTTTTTATAAAGATAATAACTAAAATATTATGTTATAAATCAATGATTATCTTAATTATATTTTATATTTTTTATATTTAAAATGAGATGTTTATCCAATATTTGATTATGTTTATCTACAGTTAGTTATACGAATTCAAATATGAAGCTTTAATAAGTTGTATTTATACACAATTTACTTGTAATCTTAAATTTTAAGTAATATGCATCAATAAAAGTACTTCGTGCATAAAAATGGTTTTTAAGAGTTTTTGTCAAATACTTTATAATATAGTATAGATATTGAAATGATAAATTTATAAATTATTTTAATATCTAATATATCTTGAAACCTCTAAAATATAGAATCTATTGGAATAAAATATAATTTTTTTTAGAGATTTTGACTTTCGATTCTCTATTTTAGTTAAATTACAAAAAATCTGTTGAAGATGCTCTATCATCGTTAAATTAATTCAAAGGTCATTTTAGTCCTTTTAACCCTTTTTTTTGTCTTTTTTTTATTAAAAAAATATTTTTATTACTGTTTTTTTATGATATATTTTATTCTTTCGTAATTATTAAAAATGAAAGCTTGCTTTCGAAAACTCTTATTACTCTTTTTTATAATCATATCATGTTTTAGGAGCCCATAGATTTATTTCAAATTTTAAAAAAGTTAAATCCTCAAATTACATTTTTCGTCCCTATGGTTTATTAAAAATTACAATTTTCGTCCCTATGGTTTATTAAAAATTACAATTTTCTCTCTATGGTTTAGGAATTGCAGTTTTCATTAATATGGGTTTGTAATTTATTGTTATTTCGTCCCTAACTAATTCTTACTTTTTTAAGTACAAGGGCATAGAATAGTAAAGAACTGTAAACCACAAGGACTGAAACAACATTAAATTATAAATTATAAGAACGAAAATAACAATGATTTACAAACTATAAGGACAAAAACCATAATATTTAAATCACAAGGATGAAAATCACAATTTTAACGTACCATCTTATCTTCTAAGTGACAGACTCTGAGCATTTATTTCTAAAGTTGTTGCTCATCTATGTAAAAATGAGACTTTTCTCTCGGTCTATTTAATGCCTAAAAAGGATCTGTCTTATCTCAATCGTGTGAAAAGCCCTACCCCATCTAGCAGCAGGGTGGAGAGCGAGACTGACCATTATTTCGACTATTCTAGAGCTTATTCTAACTCCACTATAAAAGAAGGTCCTAAACTACTTGTGTGAAATCAGTCGCTTGAGATCTTCAGGCTAGGTACGATTTTCGAGCAATTTAAGGAGAGAGCGATGATAGTGACTTTCTCCTAGCTAATTAAGAAAGGTAATCGATCCCCTTTCCCAACGGGAGAGGATGGAAAAGTTCGACCGACAGAGAATAGATGAATATTTAGTGGAATGTAACTGTCCAATCAGACATTCATCTATATTGTATTATAAAGCATTTGACCAAAAACTTTTAAAAATCATTTTTTATGCATGAAGTACTGTTTATTGATGCATATTACTTAAAATTCAAGATTGCAAGTAAATTATGCGTAAGTACAACTTATTAAAGCTTCATGTTTGAATTCGTATAACTAAATTCAGATAAACATAATCAAATAGAGAATAAACATTTCATTTTAAATATAAAAAAAACTAAAATATAATTAGGATAATTATTGAATTCTAATAAAATACTTAATTATTATCTTTATAAGAAATTATATTATTAAACCAAAATTAAAAAATGAATTAATGAAATACACAAAAAATGATAAATTGTAAATAGTTACTCTGGTATTAATATCAATTTTTTAATGATATTTTCATATTTATATTTTATTCAAAAATAAAAACATTATCGATTTCTCAAAACCACATAAAAACCGTATTATAACATCGACTAAGACAAAAAAAAATGAATACTAAAATCGAGATGTATCTCGCTGCATTGTGTAAGTACCCTTATAGTTTAGCTTAAAGTGTTTAAATTATGTTTTTTTTTGTACAGTTTTTTTCCAAGTTAAACTCGAACAGATGGTTGCTGATGGGATGATATGAACATTTTCTTGTATTAATATTATCAGTATTGGTATTAGTGTTCTTAATTACGATATTATTAAAATTTTAATTGTTTTTATTAAACAATTTTGATGATACTTGATAAAAAAAATTTATCATATAAAGTTCGTTTTAGATCTTAGTTTTATATTATATTTAATGTCACAATGTATTTAGTTATCAAATGCTAGAGATGCTTTTGGTTCGGTGATCATAGGTTTCACATGACGTGTGAACCTTTTGTGTATTCATAAAATGTACGAACCTTTGTGTTCACATGATGTACATGTACCGTAAACAAATTCTACATCGTCTAACAGCTAAACCAACTACATTGAGTGTCGTTCACTAACACGGTTTACACAATCAATATATGTGAACGAGGTGTTCACATACAAACACATGGACTCCGTTTGAACAAGGTGTTCACATACAAACCCGTGGACCACATGTGAACAAGGTGTTCAAATCCAATCTCATATAATAAGAATGATCATTTGTTCAACATGTTAAACTTATTTTACGCATGCAAAATGTTCACAGTGTGGACCATCATCAGTAGGAGTGAGCATAGGCGGGTATCCGCCCTATTTGACAGGAACCGGAACCGGCGGTTCTTGAGATATTGGAACCGGAACCGGTTAGAGCGGTTCTTGATTTTTTGGAATCGGGAACCGGTTCTAGGTACCCACTTCCTAAAATATTAAAATTTTGTTATTTAGAAATAAAAAATAAAACATTGCCAAAATACTAAATAAATAAACAAGAATACAAATTATACGGAATAATGGTTACAAATATTGTTTAACGATTACAAACCATAATAGACTAATAGTAAATGTTAAGTTTAACGATTACATACTATAATTGTAAATGTTCAAAGTTTAACGATTACATACTACGAATGAATCCAGTTAAACACACAATTTGAAAAAATACGAATCATTTTATTTTAAATTCTGAATCTCGTTTCAACTTCTTGCATACGCATCGCATCCTCAACCTCGCACGATACATGTGAATAATTGAGTGTTAAAAAAATTACACAAACTCGTAAAAAACTATACATATTTTTAACTAAAAATTGCACATATGTTTAACAAAAAACTATACAAATTTTATATAAAAAAACTGCACAAATTATACAAAAAACTACACATATTTTTAACATAAAACTACACAAATTACATAAAAAACAGCACATATTTTTTACAAAAAACTACACAAAATATTTAAAAAATAAATAAAAACCGGAACTGGAACCATTCTCAATCGGTTCCGTATTTTAGGAACCAGAACTATTCATATCGATTATGGTTCCAGAACTGGCAGTTCCAAGGCAGTTCCGCAAGTGGGTACCCGGTTCCGCTGCTCACCCCATCAGAGCAGGTTATGTAGAGAGGCGTGTGTTCACGTAATATTCACAAAATGTTCACAGCAACGTTCGTAGCTAAATGGTTTCCAGGGCTGCTGGAAGGAGGAGATAGAGAGTCAATTATATGAAACCGAAAAATATAGAAAATTAGGGACCATATTTTGTTATGGTCGGAAT